CATGGATGACACTGCTGGTATTTGAAATCCTAATGGCATAGCTTTTGACATTACAGCAACCTCCAAGTCATTTCAGTAGAGCAAACTGACAAACAAATGTAGAAGCAAACAATGAACAAGCATGTGTATACATACATACACTATAAACTAAACATGCAAAACAATTCCCTCAACACACTATAGTACTTCCCTGTTACAACACACTGATGGATACATGTTGTGCTCCTAAGAGCAAACATGAAAACAAGCAAAGTGCTGTATGCAGTGTTGTCTCTAGTTGCCTGGCCAAGTGTGCAATGCATCACCTTGTTCCCATTCAAAAAAAGGTGATCCAACAAAATGAGGAAATTATCAAATGATACCTCTTAAATATCACGCACAAGTAAAATCTTGCTGAAAATTACTAAATGACAGCTGGAACTACCAGTAATTCAAGTTGGAGTCAGACGGGTTTTGCCATAGGCATATCATTGCTAATTTCAAGTGGATTTTTGGCTGAAAACAGAGAATACCAAAAAGATTTCTTTTTTTATTATTATTGGCTATGCAAAGGCATTTGACTGTGGATAATAAGAAACTATGGCTAACATTGAGAAGGACAGGAATCCCAGAATACTTAATGGTGTTCATTCAAAACCTATACCTAGACCAAGAAGCTATTGTCTGAACAGATCAAGAAAACATTCCATGACTTAAAGAAAGGGTTTATACTTATCAGATAATATAAGAAGCTGTATTATATAAAAAAGGACATGGAGTCCGGATCAGAAAAAGACTGATCGAAACAACCTATATTACGCTGATGATACAATCTTGCTTGCTGAAAACAAAGAGGACTTGAAATGTTTGCTGTAGAAGATCAAAGACTACAGACTTCAAGATGAATTACAACTCAACAAAAATCCTAAAAAATCCTCAAAAAACCAGACCAACAGGCAATATCATGATAGACGGAGAAAAGATTGGAGTTGTCAATGCTTTCATCTTACTTGAATCCACAAACCCTTGGTAGCAGCAGTCAAGAAACCATAAAACGTGTTGCATTGGAAAAATCTGCCATCAATGACCTCTCCAACGTATGAAAGCTCAGGATTCAATGTAAAGGCTAAGATACAATTGATCTATGAATTGATCCAATTAATGATCTTTTTAATTGCTTGCTATGCTTTTGAAAGTTGGACAGTGACTAAGAATGACAGAAAACTTGAGTAACCTTTGAGTTGTGGTATTGGAGAAAATGTAGTAAAAAGAGTAAACAAGAAGTCTTAGAACACGTGTAGCCAGAGTGCTGCTTTGAGTTAGGGTGATAGAACTTTGTCTCACATATTTTGGGGACATAGTTAGGCTAAATCAATCCTTGGAAGCCTTTGTAAGCATCATGCTTACAAAGGTCAAAGGTCAGCAAAGGAGAGGAAAACAAGATGAACAGACATGGTGACTGTATCAGCAAGGCTCAAGCATATCAAAGATTATGAGGATAGGGCAAGGTTCAGATCTGTTAGTCATAGTGTTGCTATGAGTAGTACTCAACTCAATGGCCCCTAATGACTAATGAAAGTGTTTAGATATTTATGCCTCACTGTCAAAGACAAACTTAAAATTATTAAACAAGCATAGAGTCAATGTGTACATCTAACAAGACAACACTAACAAAAACAGGTCATTAAGTTGAGATTTGGTAGATGAAAGAGAAAGACTGAGATTATAATACATGTACTTTTGTAAGCCATTAAAATTAGAGGTGAGAAGAGAACTGCTATTGAGTTACCTCAAACAGTTATCTTTCTGCCTATGTAAGATTACCAGGGCAAGGGGGAGGGCAGTGACACCTACTTCAAAATATAGTATGACCACTTATGGGGGGGGGCATAAAAGTGGCAGTGCTGGAATTGGAAACACTATCCCTGACCACAGAGTCCTCAGTCAAGCGAGGGGACCGGACTGGGGTAGGGACAATTGGAGGGGGAGTATACCAGCCAGCTCCTGGGGGGTGTTTTCCTGCTCGGGATGGGCTGCCCTCAGCCCCCGGCTCGGGGCGAGCCATCGTGGCCCTCAGGGTGAGCTCCTCAGTCCCCAGATTGTGCCATCTGACCCCTGGGTGGGGAAGGAGGAAGAATAAAAAAGAATGCCTAGGGTATCCAGAGAACGTTACCTAGGCCACCTTCTGCCACCCTCCCCCCTAGTAAACCTGAAAGCAACACCCTCAAAGCCCTTCTATTTGTAACTCACAGGTTTGTTCTCTCTAGGTTTGCTCCCTTTCCTATAGGTAACCTTAACTCTAAGTTTTACTCCAGAATTGACCCTGAACCCAGTGCCAGTGACAAAAAGGAAATACAACTGACAGCTAAGGAAGCAAAGGAGGATGGAGCCTCTGGGTTTAACCAGCCATCCCCACTGGACCCACCTGGGAAAACACTTTGCAGTCCAGAGGGGAGCAAATGACAGGAAAATATCTTCTAACAGAGCAAGAAGGCAAGCAGCTTTAACCCAAGACCACCAGTATGGTGATAAAGCGTCCTCCCTGCCCCCCTTTACATCTACGCCCCTGTTCAGCATGAAGAAGCCAGAGAGTCGGCATCCAATTCCCAAATCAATAAGACAGTTGGTTTAATTACTATTGGAAAATGCTTGTCATTCCTCTGTAGCATCTGGTCCCCACTGGACCCTCATCATTTCCTTCACCTGCTCCCCCCACCGACCAAACTGTGCAGCTCTGCAACTGCATCCCTGCCCATCCTCACCCTTCTGCCCCCAACCCTCACCTCCTTGTACCCCCAATATGCTTTTCCCAATTTAAAAAAAAAATATTACCAGGGCATCATTCACGATAAATGTCTCAAGTAATTTAACTAGCCATTCGTTTAAATCGAAAATGTATAACTACAATTAAGTAAGCATTTTATAACCCAATTTTTTTTTACTCTAATGAGCAGACCGTGATTGTATGTTCAGAATCAAAATTGCCTTTGTAACAGCATAGCCTGGCCAATCTGACCTTCCAACAAGGAACAGCATTTCAGACTGAGGACAGACATGCTGAGCAGATAACACACCAGAAGTCCTGTGAACCATTACAAGCAATTGGAAACAACATAGATTATGCAGCTTCAGAATGGTGCTCTAGCTTTCAAGGAATTTAAGACTCTTTTCTTGATCTCTTGGTGTCCTGGGTGGTGTTAACATGGTTAAGATTGAAGGTTTGAACCCATCCAGGTTTGCCTTAGGGAAATTAAAAAAAGGTGTGAAGATCTGCTTTAGCCTGAAAACTCAGTGGAGTATAGTTTTTCTCTGACACACAAACAGCCACAATGAGTTGGAGGGGACTCAGTGGCAACTAGTGCTGTATCACATATATTCTTGTCTAAGCTGTTTATTGACTCGACTGGGAACTTTCTGAAGGCAGGGACCAAAACAAGCTGCCTGGGCATCACCAACACCTTCTATGTGACTCTGCTTAAGATTTATTATGACTGTTGGAGGATGTTATAAAATAAGTTATTACATTGTTGTTACATATCATCAAGTGGAAATGACTGGTAGTCGATCCTCCAGTGGGTTGTCAGAGGCAGTAAATCACACAGGAGGAGACTGCCCATCTTCCTCCATGGAGTGGCTGGTGGATTTGAACTGTGTAACTTTGGGTTGCAGGGTAACTCTTTACCACTAAACAATCAGAGCTCCCTGTTAGATAAGTATGTTAGTCAAATAATGAAACTTAGAGGATCACAAGCACCCAATTCCCTCTGTAAAGTGAGCAATAGATACATTGCCTTACTTAAAGGAAATGTAGGGCAAATCCTTTCTCTGTGGAGTACTAAATCCAAACGAGTACAAAAATTCACATAGTACATCAATTTATTAACAAATTTTTTTAAGAGATCAGAATGAAGTGTAAAGTCATCAGACAATTTAAGTAAGTTACAATTACGAATGCATTTCCACCTTCTCAAATCATTTCTTGGCTGAAATTTGTACCAATTATATTAGAATTTACTAAAGTAAAATTTGTAGAACCATTTCTACATGATTATTAAAGATTTTGTAGGTAAATCTGGGATGTTTTGTTTTAAATGGGGAAATTCTGAGTGACATAAGGTTAAAAGAGATCTCTTTATTATAAGAATTCTTCTAGTTTTGAATTGTGCCAACATGCTTTATGAATCTTCAGGGTTGGAAAGCTGCTGAGGAGAATTTACTACATAATGTTCCCCACATAACTCTTTTTATGGAACATCTGAAAGGACTAGTGGTGTGAGGAACACGCTTGGGAAATGCTGATTCAGAGGCATATCTGATGAAGGCACCTTCTTTTACAGAAACTTTCCTGTTGAAGATCTGAGTCGAAAGACCTGAGACTCTGTAGAAGTCTGTGGACTGATGTACCTTAATGCTAGCTGTTGTTTGAAATCAGCAGAACTTGGAACAATGTCAATACTCACGTCCTTCCACAGAAGAACTAAGTCATTCTGTGAGTGTGAGGCAACCACTGATTGTCGTTAGAACTCCTCGAGGAATTATGACTGGGATGCAGTTTTAGAGCCTATGGTCAAGCAGGTGTATGTCTTCATTTTTAATTTACTTAAGCAGAGAAAGAACAGAAGGGTTTAAAGATGAATTGCTGACATTACATGACACACATATTCCCCCTTGGTATTTGGTGGTAAGTCTACAGGAGAGATTTGAACTGTTTCTCCAGGTGTTTTCTCTGTTGAGACTTGTTATCGTGGGGGCCTGTTACCGTCCTGTACGCTAGGAGGCAATATAGAGAATGTGGTTTGTTTAGATGACAAACCATGTAATTAACCATCTACATGGAGGTTCCTTGAGATCATGGAGGAAATCAGGTCAGAGGTATAACCCAGTGATGCCTGGTGGCCCTGCAAATCCAAACTCCTGACACAGGAATGCAGCACTCTTTTATTGTGGGACATGAGTATTGACCGTCATCAAGAAACCCGAGGGTCACTGCTGGTATGGCTCGAGGAGATCCTTGAGATTTCTCATGGGCCATCTGTACTTGCGATGTCTATTTGTGTCTTCTTCATCATCTTCAGGACTGGAAGCCAGAAGTGAATCTGAAGAAACAAAAAGGTGAGTGAAGAGGTAATAGAGTTACTCCAAATGTCTCTGGCATACATTTTTCATTGTGGAGTTATTTGTACTAGGAAAAAGCCCAAAAGACTTTTAAATAGGCCCCAAAAAACTACTGGGTGTCCTGTCAAGCTTATCCTTAAGCCCTTAATTGTCTTTGACCTATTTTCCAATTTATGAGTGATTATTAGTTGTTCTTAGGTGTCACTGAGTCAACAGTTACTCATAGTGACCGGCGACCAGATCTTAACCCTGCCCTATCCTGTACCATCCTCATCATCTCTGTTATACTTAAGCATACTGTTCTAGTCACTATGTGAATCCATTTCGTTAAAGGTTTCTCCTTTTTTTCTCACTCTCCATCTTTCTAAGCATGTTGTCCTTTTCCAAGGACATGCCCAAAGTATGTGATGTTGGTGTTAGGTGTCATCAAGTTGAGTACCACTCCAGCAACCCTATAAACAACCAATGTGAACACTGTTCAATCTTATGCTATCCTCACTCTCTGACACATTCAAGCCCATTGCTACAGTCTCTGTGTTAACCCACCTGGTTCAGGGTCTTCTTTCTTTTGCTGCCCCTCCACCTTTTCAAGTATCATGTTTCTCTCCAAGGAATAGCCTTTCTTAGCAACATGCCCAAAGAATGTGATATGAAGCTTCAGCATCTTTTTCTCAAGAAGCACTCTGGCTGCACTTTCTCCAAAACATATCTGTTCTTTTCGCAGTCCATGGGATCTTCATCACTCTTCTCCAACACCACAGTTCAAAGGCATCAACTCTTCTTTGGTCATCCTTAGTCATTATCTATCTCTCAGATGCACAGCAAATGACTGAAAAGACCACAGCCTGCATCAGGCATACTTTTGTCCTCGAACTGACATCACTATTCCTCAATAATTGAGAGAAGTCCCCACTACAGACTTTCCCAGTGTAATATGTCACCTCATCTGATGGTGGTACTGAGTGTATTGATGGTGAATACAAATAACATGAAGTTGTTGACAATCTCAATCCTCTCTCTGTCCATCATGATTTTGCCCTTCAGTCGAGTGGAGAGAAATTTTTTTAATGTTGAGATGTAATCCATATTGAATTTTTGCCCTGGAGACTGCAATTGACTGCAATTCACCTGTGAAAGAGGGCAGTTTTGCACCTTTAAAGCAAATCTATTTTGACATTCTTGATTGTGTGTGAATGTGTGTGTGTGTGTGTGTGTGTGTGTTCTTTATATCATGGCCTTTTACTACTGTTAAGCATACTGTTAATTCATAAATTATGTAAAATATCTGACGTGTTTATCAGTCATGACACTACAGAGATAAAATATTGTCTCATAGAAAATTTCATATTATGTGTACATGTGTAACACTAGAGAATTAGCAAATTTTTAATTGTTTTTGGTCAAACATTCTTCTAGGTCATATAGCCCTTGTGTGTCCACTTGCTGTACAGAGGTAACTCATGGTTGCTGTGAAGCTGAACACTGTGACACTTACGTGTCAAAAGCAATAATGGGGCGAGAGCGAGGCCCCCAACTCCGCCGCCAGATGGGGTTCCACCGCGAGAGGGACCTGGAAGAGACCCGGGAAGAACAAGAGCCAGCCACCTACCACGGAACTCCAGAGGAGCGAAGACTGTGAG